GGGTTGGGAATAGGTCCCATATGAAGAGAGGCTAAAGAGACTGGGACTTTTCAGCTTAGAAAAGAGGAGACGGAGGGGGGACAGGATAGAGGTCTCTAAAAGCAGGGGTTGGGTGGAGAGGGTGCATTCAGAAAAGTTCTTCCTGAGTTCCCATAAAGAAGGACTAGAGGACACCAAAGGAAAGGAATGGGTATCAGGCTTGAAACTAGTAAGAGAAAGTTGTTCTTCTTGACAAAGCAAATAGTTAACCGGTGGAACTCCTTGCTGCAGGAGGCTGTGAAGGCTACAACTAGAACAGAGTTTAAAGGGAAGTGAGATCAAGTCATGGAGGTTGGGTCCATGGAGTGCTATTAGCCAGGGGGTAGGAGTGGTGTCCCTGCCCAAGGTTTGTGGAAGGCTGGAGAGGGATGGCACGAGACAAATGGCTTGGTCACTGTCTTCGGGCCATCCCCTCTAGGGTCAATAGGGCTGGCCGCTGTCGGCAGATAGGCTACTGGGCTAGATGGACCTTTGGTCTGACCCAGAACGGCCATTGTAAGCTCAGGGCTCAGGGTCGGGGGTCTCAGTGGACCCCCTTGATTCTCTTGCACACCTGCTCCTGGGTGGCCAGGCTGGCAGCTCTCCTGCCCAAGCCAGCCACTTTCCTGTGCCTAGTGCCGAGGTCGTGGACGAGGTCCGCGATGTCCGCACTAGCCCAGGCGGGTGCCCGCCTCTTGCGGTCCCGGGCAAGCTCCCGGGAGCCGCCAGCCTGGTCCCGGGAAGAGGGGGAGGGCTGGGGGGCATCGGGTGGGTGGCTCGATCCGCGCCAGGTGCAGGGTCTGTTGGCTGGGTGCTGGCAGGCTTGCACCTGGCACGGGCACCGTAGCCAGCCCGTGTACCTTTAAGGGGTCCGGGGCCGGGAGGGGGGCAGACGAATTTCCCTGGTGTTGGCCAGAGTGGCCACCAGGGAAACCTGGGGAGGGCTAGCCTCCCACTCGTTCGAATTAAGGGGCTACACACCCCTTAATTCGAACTAGTAAATTCGAACTAGGCTTAATCCTCGTGGAATGAGGATTATCTAGTTCAAACTAAGCGCTCCGTTAGTTCGAATTAAATTCGAACTAACGGAGCGCTAGTGTAGCGCCTATGAAAGTTAGTTCGAACTAACATCCGTTAGTTCGAACTAACTTTGTAGTGTAGACATACCCATAGTGAGTCCTTGGCAAAGACAGGAACAGAACCCCGGATTTCTGGGCCCCAAATAAGCAAGGTACATGCCCAGGTATGATCACATGAATAGTTCCACTGCAGCCTAAGGGACTGTTTCTGTGTTTAAGCAGACTGGTATTTTGAAATAATTTACCAAAATAATGGAAATTGTTATGATTGGATTGTGTTATTTTGACAAATAAAATATGCAGAATTTTCAAACATTGTGCCCAGGATTTTTCATTTTGGCATACAGGAGTAAAAGAGCTTTGAGGTGATAGACAGTGTAGATATGCAAAATATTATTTAATAATTCCACCATATTTTCATAGCATGTTGTTCACTGGGAAAGCTTCTGATGGTGTATTATTCAATACTTGATTTCAAAGATACCAGTTATTTTGAGCATTTATAAAATGCAAGCATTCTTCCCTCCAGAAACCACCTAAATTTCCTCATTAAGTATCTTCATGCTGAAATTGTTTTGTAAATGCCACTTACTTTTTTGTCTTTGTTGTATCTGAGAAAAATCTCTTGGGCTCTCTCTTCACCACCATCAGTAAACAACATAATGATCTTATTGCAGTTAGCTCTAGAGACACTGTGCTGTAGGAGATAGAGAAAGAAGTAACTTTTTAGTTCTGGCTCTCAAAAGACCCACAAAAGTGTAATATAGTTCCCAGAAATATAATTCAGGATCACTTTTGGTTATAAAATACTATACACAATATATTGCTTTGGGCTGCTGCCCTTTTTTATAATAAAAGTAATAAAGCTAGAACAGTAACGTTATCAATATTAAAAAAATGCCTGCCTTCTTAATGATTTAATAGACATTCCAAAATAAATTCATAAAAACACCACAAAACTAACTGACCCAAGGTCCAAATCTTGGTCACCTTACTCCCATAAGATATCCCATGGATTTAAAAGGCCAGCCTACATGAGTAAAGTAAAACAGGTTTGGTACTTGTTCTACTAGGCCAAAATCTGTACTGATTTACTTAGTACTTTAAGTTAGATATCCAGGAAACGTCTACACAGCAGGGCTAAAGCCAAAATAAGCTATGCAACTTGAGCTACGTCAATTGAGTAGCTTAAGTCGAAATAGTATATTTCAGATTTTGTCACTGTCTACACAGCAGGAAGTCCGAGAAAGCCCTTGGACTTAATAGGAATTTTTACCAGATCAGGTTGTAAATGAATACAGAGAAATCAAGGGGAGAAATGTGGGGAGAATGGTGATCATATTATCATTGGGTGATTGCATCTTGATGTAGACAAATTCCCATTTGGTATTCTCACTAGGGCAACAGCACATCCCGCAGAGCAGCTTCTGTGTGTAGGGAGCTCCAGTGCCCCACAGACAGGGGCTGCTGCCACCCCAGGCTGTTGCATCTGTATCGCAAGTAATTCCCATTTGGTATTCTCACTAACTTCGCACTCTTGCTGAAATGATAGTGGAAAAGGGGGTTTTGCCAGTAAAATAAAAAATAAAATAAATGTGTGTTACAGAGCCTATTGTGTTCCAAGGTAAAAGCATTAGTATGAAACTGATCCCAATGTATCCATTGAAAATATATGCTTCAACCCACAGCCATATTACAGCTATTTATTTTACATCGGTTGTGTGTTTCTATAATTGATAAACAATAATGGGTTCATGTGTGTGGAGACAGAATATTTCCTCACAGTGTTGTAAATGAATTTTACTATGAATCAACACCATTAGTATTTGGGAGTAGAATTTTCTCCAGAACATGTTATCAGCATACTTTATCAGCTATATTACTATGCACATGAGAATTATATTATCAATACTTTCTGTTTAGTTTTAAAATAACTAAAAGTTCTGTTTTTGACTTAGCAATACAATTTGCTATATTGGTGATGTATTTTTCATATCTATATGTCTAGATAGCCATTACTGCAAATATAATACAAATATGTGCTAGGTATTAACAGTGGTTTAAGCAGTTAAAAGAGGAGTTTTTCCTCTTTCTTTCCTGTTTGTCTGGGTTTATCTTCACAAACACCTGCAGGAGGAGAAGGTGCAGGAGGGGACACCCAGAAGGCCTGGGAAAGGCACCCCAGTTACCAATTAGAGTTTTGGCATGGACACCGGGAGTGGCACACCTCCCAAGTGTTACGAAGTTACCTGCAAACAGTGTTAGGGTATGTCTACACTACAGCGCTAATTCGAACTAACTTAGTTCGAATTAGTTAATTCGAACTAACGCATCCAGACTAAAAAACTAGTTCGAATTAGCGTTTTGCTAATTCGAACTAGCATGTTCACACTGAGTGGACCCTGAACCAGGGTTAAGGATGGCCGGAAGCAGTGCCGGCAGGGTATCAGATGAGGACTTAGAGCGTGGAGCTGCTGTCTCAGGCTAGCTGAGGGCTGTGCTTAAAGGGACCCAACCCCCACCCCGGACAGACAATTCTCAGGGGTGCCCCGCTTGCAAAGCAGTCCTGGCTTGATTGCCCGGAGTACCCACACTGGGCACATCACAGCACTCGGCCATCAGACCAGCTGCACTTGCCGCAGACTGCCATCTGGGGAGAGGGGGCAATTGGGGGGCTGCAGGAGAGCTTCCACCCCCAGAAGCCCGCAGAGCCAGCCCAGTCCTCCCCATCGGGGGCTCGTACCCCATTCCTCCCTCACCTCCTTCCACTTACCCTTCCCTAGCCCGCCTTCCTGATGTACAAAATAAAGAAAATGTGTGGTCAAAAATAGAATCTCTCTTTATTGAACCAAACTCGGGGAGACTGGGAAAAGGAGGTGGAAGAGAGAGGGTGGGAGAGGGGAGGGCAACTATAATGATGAGGGATTTGGAACAGGTCCCATATGAAGAGAGGCTAAAGAGACTGGGACTTTTCAGCTTAGAAAAGAGGAGATGGAGGGGGGATACGATAGAGGTCTCTAAAAGCAGGAGTTGGGTGAAGAGGGTGCATACAGAAAAGTTCTTCATTAGTTCCCATAAAGAAGGACTAGAGGACACCAAAGGAAAGGAATGGGTAGCAGGCTTCAAACTAGTAACAGAAAGTTGTTCTTCACAAAGCAAAGAGTCAACCTATGGAACTCCTTGCTACAGGAGGCTGTGAAGGCTAGCATGCAAAGTCCCCTGCACCCTGCCCCAGCCCTGCCAGGGGCACACAGCACTTAGAACAGCTGGTGGTTCCCTCTAGGTGCCATGCGACCCTGGCTCAGGGAGGACACTGTGCACTCCCTCGCCCTCAGGTCAATCTGGGCCTTGGAGCAGGGGAGTACATTAAGTCTCTCGTCCCCAGCCACCACCTGCCAGAGGCATGTGGCCCTGAGAGGAAATCTCCAGTCATTTTGAACAGCTGGCAGTTCCTTCAAGGTGTCATGCGCCCTGGCGGGGCTGAAGAAACTTCATGCACTCTCCTGCCCCACATCTCTATTGGCATGAGGGTGAGGAAGTGGCAGGGCAGGCCACAGGCTGGATCAAATGGCTTGGCGGGCCAGATGTGGCCCACGGACCGTATCTTGTCCACCCCTACCTTAAAAGCAAGCAGATTCACATTTCTTCCTATGCTTCAAGGAGCCAGCCAGGAAGCCAGATTCCCTTTCAGAGATTGGGCCTCCTACTGTGTCAGAGATTTATAGTTAACTCAAAACATTCTTAACTTACACACGTGAGTTTAATTTACACCTTTTCTGAATTTTCACTGATCTATCTGTTCATAGATTCATCTGTTAAAGAATTCATACTCCCAGCTGACAAGAAGTAATATAAGGTCTTGGATGAAGATGACAGTGTGCTGCAATACATCAGAAATCAGTATGATTTTCTTGATGCTATAGAATAATAGGATGTCTCTCTATTTCAAAAATGCTTTCTGACCTCCCTCTTAGTCTGCTAATTATAGCTTTCATTTTTTTTATTTTTATATATTTTTAAAATTCAACAAAGCAAGCCAGTAGCTAGACATCTTTATTTTTTTTTTTTTTTTTTTAAATGAAGGTGCAACCACATTCATTTTATGGATAAGATTAACACATCCTTTAAAATGGAGTTTACTTACCTACATGTCTGGAAATAGCTTGGTGCATGAAACTCTAAGAATGAACCTTTTTATGTCCCCGAGGAAGCAAAAAACAAGGCACCCCTCCCCCTCGCCCACCAACCCCTCCCAAAAAAACAATCCAACAAACAAAAACCCTCCTACCTAGAATCACAATATACCACAAAGTGATTTACAGAAAAAAATAGTTCTATAGTAATCATTACAATAGGGTAAAATTAATTGATACACCAAAATTAAAAAACAATGGTAAATATACCTTTGCAAATAATGTGTAGAGGAACAATAGATAACACTAACTCACAAATCAGCAAATCCATATTACAAGTAGATATTACCGGAGTGCCTTAATTTATTTCTAAGATTATAATAAAATATTTATTTCCATCCAGCACTAGCTCTAGAAAGTAATTTTCCTAACGGCACAAAGAAGACAACACTTCTGTACGTGTAAGAGTGTGTTCAAGTGGTTCTCATCCACAGCATTGCGCCTGCACAATTATTACCAGACCGTGACCTTTCAAAACATCTAACATCTTTGGAACTTATTACAAAGCTGGCTTGTTTGAAATCGTAAGCACACAATAAAACTTTTTCATAATTTTATCCTTCTAAATCTTCATAATCCCATCCCATTTAACTTTATATGCTTGTCTCTATAGTCTATAGCTGTCTCCATCGACAGCTCTTTACTCCTCCTGTCAACTGGATCTGCTGGATCCTGGAGTGGACAACTGCAGTTCTTCAGTCTCATGTGATCTCTTAAATTCTCCAGGTATAGATGTGTGCCACATCCATTAATCATTCTGATTCTTGCAGAACATATTGGGCCTCAATAAAGCCATAATCTCTGCAACAACTAAAACACATTAACAATAACAACCAGAGACATGGTCTAGTGTTTTATTTCTGTTTACCTTTGCGAACACTTGACTTTGCCATATTCATTACTTCCAAATTAGGACTTCTATTACTTCTATTCTTGGCAATTATTTGTTAGGTTCTAAGAACATATTTAGTACTGTATCAAACGTAACCCACAAAGTGTCAATGTTCTGAGGAAATTATAGGTCAAAATAAAACTCCTTCTGTCCTTCTAGCTTTCTCCTGTTATTGCTCTAACATGCCCATAGGGCCACTGAGGGTGCATCTACACAGCATGCTAAACTCAAAATAATTTCCACTGAATTTCAAAATAGCTTATTTCAAAATTTGGCGTGTCTACACAGGACCAAATTTTGAAATAATGCACTATTTCAACACATCTCTTAACGCCTGTGGAATGAGGGTTAAAGGGATGCCAAAATAGCTCGCCCGTTATTTTGAAAAATATTTCAAAATAACTGGTGTGTTTAAAAGATGTGGAGTAGACATACCCCGAGGGACAGAAGTAACCTTGTTCTCAAGTTGGACAAAGATTTAAATCACTCTTTTCCCTTCTGCGTAAAGTTTCACATAATCAGCAACTGAGGTCACCAAATCCTTTTCCCCACGCACACTGAGTGGGTCAGAAGATATTTTTGCAAATATTACATTTTTTAATTCAGATATAATTTGGATGGATATTCTCCAACCAGCTCTGTTCCTGTGACATGATACAGAGTGACCAAATAGGTGTCTAGTTCTAGCAAGTAGCTGATGAGGGGAGTAGAGATTGAAGCCTCCAATAAAGTTTCACCAAGAATGAGTGCAACCCCTTCTGTTTTGTGGGCAAGATAATAAGCAAGTATTTATTAACTGGCGTAGCTCCATTTAGATTGGCTGAAGTTCTGACATACAGTTGTTAATACTATGAACTACACCAATATTTTTTATTAAGTAAAAAAGAAACTGTACCAAACAAACTTATTATGGTAGGTTGGCAACATTACTTCACTTTATATTACTAATTAGAAAGAAAATTTGAGGACAGTCTGAAATTAGGTAACATAACCAAAAGACGTAACCAATGCATTTGGTCTCTGATGAGATGTATTCTGTTCCCCCTGCCATGCTTAAAATACTTTGGATTAGTCTCTTTCCTCCATCTAATATCCCTCCGAAAGCTATTTATAAATACAAAGGTATTGAAACCACACACAAGTATGCATGAGGTATCATGCATTATAAACTAAATCAATAAATGTGAATAAAGTAAAAAACAACCGGGAGACATTCTAAATTATGATATAACTGAAATATTCTTCTTAGATGTAATAACATGTTTTCTTCTTTGAAAAAGGGGAAGCAATGCAGCCAGTAGCACAGTCATGTGATAACTGGAAGAGACGCCCATTGAAAAATGAAGCCCAAAATGGAAAAAAATAATAACCCCCCCGCACACACAAAAACCCATTATATCACACTGACAAACAAGTTTCCCCTTCACAAATCTTAAAAAATCAAGCTGAGTGGGGCTCTATTTAGGGAAAGCAGGCTGATGGGATACATTTGTTTTGTAAGTAATTGCATCATAAAATATATCACACTGTTTACTGCTTGTGGAGCACTCTAAGTGACCATCTGGACATTAAAGTGCTATTACCACAGATCAATAGTATAACAGCACTGAAGGAAAACTTTGTAATACTTACATTTAGCAGCTGTTCAAAAGCATAGCTAAAACCTTTCTTGTAGTCAGTGATTCCTTTAGCTGAGATTTTGTAGACAGCCTCTTTCAGCTTCTTCTTATTCCTCACATTAGCTTGGACAAGATGATTAAAGCAGCTGACGTTCTGAGCATTATTGTTAAACTGCAAAATAATTGATAAAGAAAATTAAAGACAATAATACTGGTTTAATTTCCTTTTCTGCTCTATAGTGTAAGGGCCAGATGCTGGCTTCAGGGCATACATGCAACTCCTAGCAATGGGTGATCCTGAAAATATTTAGATGATGTGATAATGCACACAAATATTCAGTTACTTATCACAATTTTATCCAAAATAACAGTTTCTTGAAACTTCAACAGAAAATGTCATGACTCTCTCCAACTTGTCCAGAGCTTTCAGAAGCATGGTGTGGACACAGCATTCCAGGTGAGGACTGTCCTAGTGTACTTGGCACTGGTGAAGCCTCAGTTGGAAATACTGTGTCCAATGGTTGGCACCATATCTAAGGAAGTTGTGGATAAACTGGAGTGAATCCAGAAGAGAGCAACACAAATGATAAAAGGTTTAGAAAACCAGATCTATGAGGAAAAGTTTAAAAAAAACAAACAACTTAGTCATCTGAAAAGAGAAGGGACATGATAACACTCTCCAAACATATTAAGGACTAGGGGGCAACAATTCTCCAAGTCCACAGACGGTAGGACAAGAAGTAATGGGCTTACTCTGTAGAAAGAGAGATTTAGGTCAGATATTAGAAGACACTTTCTAACCATAAGGGTAGTTGAAATAGGTTTCCTAGAGCTGTTGTGGAATCCCCATCAATGGATGTTTTAAATAAAAGGCTGGACAGAGACCTGCCAAGGACGGCTTAGGGTCTCTTGATAATGCCAAAGTTCAAGGGCCTGGATTTGATTACTTCCTGAGATCCCTTCTAGACTTGCATTTTTGTGATTCTGTGAAAATGGATATTCATTTCTTTACATCTAAAAATCAGATGCTAAACTCACTGAAATGAGTGGAAAAACTCTGAAGGAGTTTCAATGACCTTACCAGCTCAATAGAACTGGGAAGCTCAGATGCATAGAAAAAAAATGAAATAAATAATAATCGGCAATGAATGTCTGAAAGTTTCTTGAAATTTCTTGGTTTCTGAAAGTTTCTTGTCCTGAAAATATAAAACATTATTGGCAAAAATAAGCACATCACAGTATAGATATACATAACAAGACACTTTTAAACCCAGGTTTCCATTTATGTATTACGCATGTGCTTTTATTTATTTTTTTAGCACTCTCATCAATTAAGTGGGAGATTCTAGTTCTTGATATATTCCAGCACACATGTCAACTATAAACATGCAAATGGAAATCATCTTGTGCCTTCTTCAAAATTTGGTCCTGCTTATATAGTAGTGACATATTATTGTTTTTGTGTGTATTGTGATAACACCTATCAATCACAGATATGGTCTTGGGCACCTCGATGGTAGATGCGGTGAAAGCACTGGCTTGTATTGCCTGAAAAATCTCTTTGATAATTACAAAACACTGCTTTTTCATCTAAAAGCAAACACGGGAAATATACGTAAAAAAAACAATTTCCTGCTCAAAGAAATTATCATTGGTGTGACTGGACATAAATGTTAATTATAAGAGAAACTTCTTGCAGCTTTATATGATTAAAAATTCTCACAAAAGTTGTTTTCTACCACTTTAGCTGTATATGGGGCCTTAAAGAGAACAACAATTATGTGAAGTGGCCTTAAGCCCCAGTCTTGGTCCCTAAATCCTGAATATCTCTGTTTAATCTAGTTGTGTTGCACTCAGGATAAATAAATAAGAGAATCTGGCCAGTAATTTTAAATATTTAGTGGAATACTCAGGCTATTTCTATTGTCTGACTGTGTGATAAATTCAAAATTAAAACAAATTTTTTTTTTCTGATAAAACAGGTTTGATTCAAACCAAAAAAGTAACGAAAATCAGACTGACCAATTATAAATATCCCATATTTTATCCAGGTGCTAACAGAGCAAAAATGTAATGGTTAAATATCAAAGATGTGCAAAAATTTTACATACAAATACCTGACTCCTACACAGGACAAAACATCTGAGTTTAGAACATACAATTCCAGAGTTTGAGTGATATTCTGAGCAAATTTTCTAAGTAGTTATTTTTGGGTATAAACATTATAAAACTCATAGATCTTAAAGTTTTTGTTCTCTAAAACAGAAAATTCTGTTTTTAATGGTTCACTTGTACCCAGAAATTGAAGAAAACTTTAGGGTGCAAAGTTCAAGCAGAGCCAGCTGCCAAACCAAAAAGAAATTCCTACAAACCCACAGCAATTTGGTGAAAATACCCCCAAAAACATTTTTCTCGGTTCCTCCTCCATGTATAATATGGCTACGTCTACACTGCAGGCTTCTAGTGAGAGAACTGTTTTGCGCAAGAGTTCTTTTGCAAGAGAGCATCCACACTGGCGAGATCCTCTTGCGCAAAGACCTGCCTCCCAAAATCACTTAGGACAGAGCAAAAGGGCACCAGTACCTTCCAGGGAAGGGGGCTGGAGCCCTGCTGAGACACGTGCTTAAAGGTATCTCCCTGGACAGCTGTTTCTCTGCTGCTGTATGCTTTGGGACCTCTTGTAGGGACTGAAAGCTGTAGCAGTGCCTGTTGTGGTTGCCCTCAGCCTCTTTGGACACCACAGCTTCTGCCCGAGTGCCTTTGGGGACTTTTACCATCTCCTGTCTGTGTGCGGCACCCTTTGGGATGTGTGGGGTATGGTCTGTGCCCTGCGGGCTTGGCTGCTTCCAGCCGGCATCCCCCTCCCTCTCCTGGGCAGGATGTGTGTGAGCATCAGGGTCCCAGGCATGCCCTGGAGCTACCTGCTGCGTCCACGTGCCACACGGTCAGGCTGCACGAGGTTGCACGTGCTGCGTACTACTGCACGATGTGCAGCTGGGACTGCCTGAGAGACACCCCTTCCCCGAGCACCTGTCTCCCCGCCCTTGTGAGTGACAACCGCTACAGGGAGGGTCTGTCGCCAACCTCGGACGAGGCCTGGGAGACGTCCTAGCTGCTGGACACTGGCTCCAGATGGAGGGCGATGGTGGGTGGGTGGTCCTCTCCTTTGTCTTTGGAGGCAGTGGTCAGGTCGCCCTCCTCCAGGTCAGGAGGTCTGACCACTGGGGTGTGCAGTCTGGCATCCACCATGGGAGAGGGCCCTTGCACAGCTGTCTTGACCATGATGGCGTGCAGGAGCTCGTAGTGGGGGCAGGTGTCAGCTCTTCCCTCCCCGCCCCCGGCCACCCTCACTGGCTTTCACATATGCCAGGCTCCTTAACCTTGGCCCAGACCTGCTCCAGGGTCCGGACTGAGTGTCCCTGGTCTGCCAGCGCCTGGTCCACGTGGCCAAAGATGTCTGTGTTATGGCGCTGGGACCGTGGAGGGCTTCCTTCTGCCCCCACAGGTCCAGGAGGAACTCAACCTCAGCCCCGGCCCAGCATGGGGTGCACCGCTTGGTGCCCCCGTGGCTGCTGGGAGCCCTGGAGTGGCTTCTGGGATGGTGGTGCAGGCTCATGGGGTGGCTTCGGGGCAAGCATCTGGTGCTTCTGAGCTGCAGCAGGCAGAGCCATCTGTGGACAGTTTCCGGCTGTGCTGCTTCTGCCATGCGGCGTCTGCAGGGTGCGTAAGCCTTTAAGTGGGGGGTCTGGCAAACAAGAAGTAGTGAGCTGTGAATGCGGGTATGGAGTGTCCAAGCAGCCAGCTCCATTTTTTCCTGGAGGCCAATCCTTGCACAAAAACTCCCTGCTGCCTGTCTACACTGCCTTCTTGCGCAAGACCACTTGCACAAGAAGGCTTATTCCTCATATGAAGCATCATAGTTCCTGCCCAAGAAGCCCTCTGTTCTGATGCTTTACTGTAAATTTACTTGTGCAAGAACGCGTGTGCAGTGTAGATGTTCCATAAGTTTTTGTGCAAGAATGGCTGTTCTTGCACAAGAAGCCTGCAGTGTAGATGTAGCCTATACCAATCAACAGAATAAATTTGTATACGAGTCTCCTCATAATCTGCAGTGACTATATCAGTTTCCTCTTTTCACAACTAAAAAAATTATTCCTATCACTCACAAAAGCCTCTAGTTTTAGTGCTGTTAATCTGAAGATTCAGTCTCCAGTAACAGATGTAGTGTTTTCACATTTCTGTGGTCACACAGTTCATTAAAATCAAGGTTATAGTATTAACTTTTAATTGCCACTCTTTGTGGTCACACAGTTCATTAAAATCAAGGTTATAGTATTAACTTTAATTGCCACTCAACTTTGATTTTTTTTTGTTTTCCAAGTTCTGTTCAGAATAGCAATATCTTTGTGATTGATTGTGCTTTCGCTGAAAGTTAGAGTCTAAATTTTATCCTTGAACAATCAAGACCTTTTCTTATATCAAATAATGGAGACTGAAAATAAAAACATAAAAATAAAGATAAAGAACCTCTGGAAGAAAAACGAACAGCACGCAGGCCTGTACAAGGACGAATAGCCTATTGCTCTGTGTGTGTATCTGTGATTGTAAATATTCAGCTGTATTTGAAACAAGATAAATTGGTACAGAGATAACCTAATAGCAGAAAGAGTTTGAATGCCACTTATATGTTATTTCAGATGTGTGGGACGAATACATAATAGCCAGTCAGCTATTTGTATAATTGTTCAAATACATGCAACACAATATATTCATTTGACATTTCTGCCCTACTATTTTTTGAATGCCTAAGTATACGCTACTCAAACAGGAGATACACATTATTCATTATAGCTCTAATCATAGACAAAATATTGGCACAATCATATCATCATGCCAAGCTCTGGCATCTCTCTCAAGAGGGACACTATTTTGTGTTTTATACATTATATACATGGTACAACAAAACAATCCTTTGTGCTCTGATCAGTGTTTGTTGAAAGCTGTGTGGAGTTCTGGCTGTCTCATGTGAAACAAGATATATTAGAATTGGAAAAGATGCACAGAAAGGTGACAAAAATGATGAGAGATGTGGAACAACTTTCATACAGAAATTAAGTGACTGGGACTGTTCAGCTTAAAAAAGAAATAGCTACACTGGAAATACGATGAAGT